TTTCCCTGATGGTTAAGGATGTTGAGCAGTTCCTTAAACGTCTTCTGGCCATTTGAGTTTCTTCTGTTGAGAGTTCTCTGTTTAGATCTGTACCCCATTTTTTTAATTGGATTATTTAGCATTTTGATGTCTAGTTTCTTGAGTTCTTTGTATATTTTGGAGATCAGCCCTCTGTTAGATGTGGGGTTGGTGAAGATCTTTTCCCATTCTGTAGGCTGCTGTTTTGTCTTAATGACCTGGTCCTTTACCTTACAGAAGCTTCTTCATTTCAGGAGGTCCCATTTATTAATTACTGCTCTCAGTGTCTGTGCTACTGGTGTTATATTTAGGAAGTAGTTTCCTGTGTCCATGCATTAAAGGCTACTTCCCACTTTCTCTTCTATCAGGTTCAATGTAACTGGATTTATGTTGAGGTCTTTGATCCATTTGGATTTGAATTTGTGCATGCAGGCATATATGAATCCATTTGTACGTGTTGACATCCAGTTATGCCAGCACCATTTGTTGAAGATGCTTTCTCTTTCCATTTAATACTTTAGCTTCTTTGTCAAAATTCAGGTGTTTAGAGGTGTGTGGATTAATATAAGAGCCTTCAATACAATTGCATTGATCCACATGTCTGTTTTTATGCCAATACCAAGCTGTTTTTTATTACTATAGCTCTATAGTAGAGCTTGAAGTCAGGGATGGTTAGGTTCCTTTATTGTACATGACTGTTTTTGACTATCCTGGATTTTCATTTTTCCATATGAAGTTGAGTATTGTTCTTTTGAGGTCTGTGTAGAATCATGTTGGAATTTTGATGGGAATTGCATTGAATCTGTAGATTGATTTAGGTAAGATTGCCATTTTTACTATGTTGACCTTACTTATCATCCAAGAGCATGGAAGATCTTTCAATTTTTTAATATCTTCTTCAATTTCTTTCTTTAAGGACTTAAAGCTCTTGTCATAAGGTATTTTTTTGTTAGAGTTACTCCAAGATATTTTATGTTATTTGTGGCTATTGTAAAGGGCACTGTTTCTCTGATTTCTTTCTCGTCCTGTTTATCATTTGTATATAGTACATTTATATATAGTGATTTTTTTTGAGTTGTGACTCAACTCTTATTTAATACATATTGTATTTGGAACTTGGATTCAACTCTTTTTTTGGTATTTTGAGACAGGATTTCTCTGTAGCTTTGGTGCCTGTCCTGGAACTAGCTCTTGTAGACCAGGCTGGCCTCGAACTCACAAAGATCCACCTGCCTCTGCCTCCCAAGTGCTGGAATTAAAGGCGTGCACAACCAATGCCCGGCATTGGATTCAATTCTTGTTTTAAAATTAGATCTAGGGCTAGAGAGATGGCTCTGTTATGAAAGGCATGGCTCACAACAAAAATAGGTCTACTAAGAAAATAGATGTTTTTAAATAACGATCATGTGATTTGCCTCCATCTTGGCTGATGACCTCATTAGGATGGAAGCAAACTTGTGAATGGCAGCCATATTACTAAACTTAAGAAAGGATACATGCCATATGATGTCATCTTGATTAGGTGATCACATGGCATAAACCAACTAAAGCAGCACCTATTACACTTCTTAGTTCTACTGAGCTCTTGTATCATTCATTATCTTTGTATCTTCTTTTCAGACTCACAAAGAAACAACAGGTCTCCAAAATATTTTGGATTAGTATGAACTTTTGTATGATAAATTCCAAAGGTTATGAATGTCTGCTCAAAGAACAAAAACTGATTTAGAGATTTATATCTAGCTGCTTATGTCCTTGCTAATATTCAACAACAGGCTTCTAGGAAATTTTAAATAAGAAACAACATACATTTGATAAATAATAAATACTTAATAAATAAAGTTTATAAATTTATAAAGTTATAAAAATATGCTCAGGTTAACAGAAATTGGCTTAGGTATGTATGTCTAACCACTTATGTCCTTGATAACTCCTCAAAACCAAGCTCGCCAGTCGGTGGAGCTATTCGGGGAGGTTTAGGTGGCACAGAGTGAGCATAGGAAGCATGTCACCAAGGAAGGGATTTGAGAGTGAAAACTACGCACCATTTCTGGGACCTGAAACTTTCACCCAATGAACATGATGTGGCACAGAGGATGGGGTACATGTGATTGTGTGTGAGTTTCTGGCATAATGAGAAAGTAGCGTGGTTAGTAGTAGGGTATTCATTACAATGCATGATGGTTTGGTCCCCAATACTAAAATGTGATGACTAGTTTGATGTCAACAGGACACAAGCTAGAATCATCTGGGAAGAAGAAACCTCAATTAGGAAAATGCCCCCATCAGATTGGCAGCAGGGCAAGCCTCTGCTACATTTTCTTGATTCATGATTGCAATGGGGTTGGTTGACCTGGATGATTTGTTTGTTTGTTTGCTTGTTTGTTTGGTTGGTTGGTTGGTTGGTTTTTCAAGACAGGGTTTCTCTGTGTAGCCCTAGCTGCTCAAGAAGTCGCTCTGTAGACCAGGCTGGCCTTGAACTCAGAGATCTGCCTGCCTCTGCCTCCTGGGTACTGGGGTTAAAGGCGTGTGCCACCACCAAACCAGGGTATTATTAGAAAACAGGATGAACAAGCCATAAGAAACCAGCCATGAGAAGCACGTTAGTGAGCAGCCTTCCTCATGGCCTCTGCATCTGCGCCTGCCCCCCAGGTTCCTGCCTTGAGTTCCTGTCCTGACTTCTCTGGATGATGGACTCCACGTTGTAAGCTGAAACAAACCCTTTCCTTCCCACACTATTCTGTTGTTGTTGCAGCAATAGAAATCCAAGACATACTCTAAAGAAAAAAATTACTCGTTGCTGTTTTTTTTTAATATTGTTTTATTTACCTGTGTACACACATGCATGTGGGGCCTTTCTGAGGCCAGAAGTTGGATCCTCTAGAGCTGGAGTTGCAGGAAGTTGGGAGCCACTGACATGTGTATGGGAACTGAACTGGGGTCCTCTGGAAGAGCAGTATGCATCTTAGGCAGCGAGATGTCTCTCCGGCGCCTTCATCACTTGCTGAATGTGTGCTACCAGGTGCTGAGCCCAGACTCGTGCCTGTCAGCCAGGAGCTTGACCATTTTTGTTTTTGTTTTTAAAGACCTCTTTAGAGGTGGGTGTGGTCATGTGCCTTTAATCCCAGAAGAGGTATAAGGAGTTCTGTGAGTTGAGGGTTATCCTGGTTTCCATAGAGAGTTCCAGACCAGCCAGGGCTACGTATTGAGACACAGTCTCAAGAAAAAGGATATACTTTTTATTTTATTAATTTTTATCTATATGTATCCAGGTGCCCGCAGAGGCCAGAAGAGGGTATTGGATCCCTTGAAGCTGGAGTTAGAGTAGGTTTTAAGTCTCCCCACACGAGTTCTGGGAACTGAACACACGTCGTCTGGAAGAACCACAAGTTCCATTAACCACTGAGCCATCTCCCCTACCCAGCTCTGTTGCTTTAAATGAAGTGTGAGCCAAAGGCTAAGATTTGGTGGACTCCAGTGTCCAGAGCCTGACCCAGTCAGGTAATCATGAGGTCTGCAAAGATGGCATAGCAGTAGCTAGATTCTAACGTGCACGTTCAAGGGCGTGGAGCATGTGACCCAGGATGGTTTGTCTAAATCTTCCAGAAAAAAAGGAGTGTGGTGTCCATTAGGTTGACGGGTTAATCTTGCAGTAAAGGCTGAGGTTTGGGTTTGTCAGCTTCAATTAGACAAAGGAGAAAGTGACTTCTGTTAAGTCTACAATCTGGTCTACTTGACTTACAGTCTGAAACCCACACATCCTGGGATGTTCCCCTACCCTCAGAAACTCCTGTTCTGTTCCGCTATAGTCATGATAGTGCCTCCAGGAGTGAACTGTGGACCTGCCTGCGGTGCTAGACAGACTCTGAGGCAGCCCACAGTTCCCCACCTCTGGGCCTTGGCGCCTTTATATGATTCCCAGGCCTGACGAAGGAACCTTGATAAAACAAACAGGACAAAGACCGGGGATGTGGGTGGTTCCGTGGCTATTGCAATCTGTCCTGTGAGATCGTGACTTCTACTTGACTTTGAAAAAAACACGAACCAGTGCTGTAAGCTGCCCACAGAGAGGAACACATAGAAAAAGGCTGAAGGTTACTTGACAATCAGTAAGAAACCAAGGCAGTGCTAGTTTGAAAATGGATCCTCCCTAAGTGGAGCCCCACTTGAAACCTCAGTGGTCCCCAGCACCTCCATTCCAGCCTTGCAGGAAGCCAAGGTGGATGATGCTGGACCATAGGGAGGTGACAAATATGTGCTATCTTGAGCTGCTCAGTCAAGGTGACTTCACTGAGGTGACTGATAGAGAAAGCACCCCCAGGAGGCCCTTGATGCCCTTCAACTTGACACCTTCCCCCAACTCCCTTGACCTAGGTTTCTCTTCTCCTCCCTCCAGAATGTAGCAGATACTGGATCAGATGGAGGGACTCTCTCCTCCATGTGCTGGAGAGCCTGGGAAGCCTAGCCCGTCACGTTCACGGCCTTCCCTACAGCAAGAATACCATGGTGGATGGGGGGAAGCCTCCAAGGGGAGGTCCCAGAAGGAGCTTTTTCTCTAAAGACAAAGGGAATGTCCATGACTCCCCTACTTAGGCCCTGGTGGGGAGTGACTTGAGAATTCCATACATGCCTTAAATCCCAGCACTCAGGAGGCAGAGGCAGAGGCAGGCAGATTTTTGTGAGTTTGAGGCCAGCCTGGTTTACATACAGTCAGGGCTACACAGAGAAACCCTGTCTAAAAGAAAGAAAAAAAAAGGAAAAGGAAAAAAGAAAAAGAAAAAAATAGAGTTCCATTTGTGAAAGTCAAGGGCTGACTGGAGAGCTCACCAAACTGAACACAAGACAGATGAGAGATAGCATGAGCCAGTCTGATGCTCTCTACGGAGCTTGAACATAGACACACTGAAGCTTGCTTGAGCATGGTGATGCCCGTCTGTAGTCCCAGTGCTGGGAAGGACAAGGCAAGAGAAGTGCCCTAAGTTCTAGTCCTGGGACGTCTAGAGAGAAGCAGAAACATGACAGCCCGGCCTACAAAGAGTGAAACTTGCATCACTGAAGCAACGTCAAAGAAATGGGAAAGTGGGGTGAATGGGACGAGAAAGAAGAGAATGGAAGGGGAGGCGATGTGGCAGGGAGCAGCTGGGCAGAAACACGCATGCACAACTGTACACACACGCAAAGTAGCGTGGAAAACAAACATCGGGGGTAAAGTGAAATGGGAAGACAGGAATGGAGACTAGGTGTGATGGCTCACACGGGCTATCTAGCACTGGATAGGCTGAAGCAGAAGGATCGTGAGTTCAAGGCCAACATGAACTACACAGAGAGAGACCATGGAAGGAAAAAGAAGAGAGGGAGAAAGGAATTCAACGGGAACAGAACAGCGGAGTAAATGGGGAGAACCGAGAGTGCTAACAAAGGAAATAAAATGGAATTGAAAAGACTGTGTGTGTGTGTGTGTGGACGTGCACACACGCGCACATTAGTGCCCGCATAGGTGTATGCGCATGTGTGTGCATGTGTGGGTGTATGCGTGTGGAAGCTAGAGTCCACTTCAGGTTTGTTCCTCAGGAATTGTCTGCCTTTGGTATTTTGTTTTGCTTTGGTTTTATTGTTGGTGGTGGTTAGTTTTGCTTTGTTTTTGAGACAGAGCCTCCCTGGCCTGGAGCGTGTGATTAGGCAAGGCTGGCTGGCCACCAGGCCTCAAGGTTCCCACCTGTCCCTGACTCCCCAGCACTGGGATTATGAGAATGTCCCATCATGCTCAGCTCTTCTGCAGGGGCTGGGGCTTGAACTCGGGTCCTCACTCTTACATGACAAGCACTTTACCAGCTGAGCTATCTTCTCAGTCCTTAGAATGGAGATGGTTCTCAAAGAAAATCTCTGTTGGACGTTTATCCTACAGAGTCCTCAGCAGGGGACAAAGGTTTCTGCCAGCCCAGAGACAAAGTGACATCAGAATACATGGCATCAAATTACCTCATAATTTGATTCTGGGTTTCTTGTTGATACTGGGGGGACCAATGGCTGCTTTGGAATTGGAGTTGGGGGCAGTGGCTTCCTGGAACGTTCAGGAGCTACGGAAGGTAGCTGCTTCTGCAAGTAAGCAAAGAAGTCAGGTGGGACCCATAGTCACAGATGAACTGGAAGACGGCAACCTATACTCCTCAAAGACCCAGAGAGGCTGGGTGTGGTGGCGCACATCTTTAATCCCAATACTCAAGAGGCAGAGGCAGGAAGATCTCTGTGAGCTCAAGGCTAGCCTGGTCTACATAGCAAGTTCCAGGGCAACTATAGTTACATAATAGAGAGACCCTATGTGAAAAGAAAGGGGGGAGAGAGGATGGGATACACCCAGCTCAGGGTCCTACAGACAACTGCAATGGAAGAAGAGCTGGAACCCCAACTGCTGCTTTTCCGTAAGGTGTTCTCTCTCCCTCCCCCATCTCCATCTCTCTCCCCAGTCTTCCACCGCCCTCCCTTGCCACTTCCTCCCACCCATCATGTGCCTGGCTAGCCCCAAGGCCTGCTGGAAGGGGTGACTCGGACACAGAGCCCTGTGAGGCAGTGGGCCATGATCTCCCCGTCCCTGGGATTGTACTGCAGTGAGTCACCTCTCAGCCTTGATGAGCATAAAATCCTCTGGTCACATTTCCCCCACGGTTTCTATAACTGGATGCACCAGGTCCAACCTACCTCATAGTCCTGCTCCGGGGAGACAGACGGCAGCACCTGGGGGAGAGGAGTTGGGAAGAAGTCAGAAGCTGGGGGTGTGGCTCAGCAGTCAAGAACTTTCTAGAATCCCCCAGTGAGGTGCTGGGGGCGTGGCGCAGTGGTAGAAGCTAGTTTAGCATGCTGAAGCCTGAGTTCAACACCTAGCAAAACATAAAGATGAGAGACAGACAGACAGACAGACAGACAGACAGACAGACAGAGGGGGAAGAGGGAGAGAGAGTCTCTGGCTATGGCAGCCTCTCATCCTAAAAGGTAGACACCCCGGCGGGACCAGTCACAAAGCACGGGAGCAGTGACAGTGTTGGGGGAAACTCACCCACCTCTTGGCCAATGGCCATCCACCGGGGCTTCGGCTCATTGTCGTACTCGGTCTTTGGCTTGTCTAGAGAAAGCAAACACAGACCGGAGTGAAAGTGAGGCCAACATAGAGAAGGTGCTGGTTTTTTTGGAACTCCCCCTCTTCCCCATCATATCTCAGGCAAGACTAATGAGCCCACTGAGTGACAGGAAGAGAGGAAGTCATCTTGGCTGTGTTCATGAGCCGAGTGTGGATTGCCAAGACCTCACTCTTTACCCTCTGTCATCCTGTTTCCTGTCTGTAAAATGGAGTAGGGACCCGGGCGTGTAGGTTCTGGCCTTTAATTCTAGCTACTCTTAAGACTGACGCATGAGGAACACAGTTTAGGGTCTTTCTGGGCCCCAAGAGACTTCAAGGCTACATGGGCAACTCGAAAGACCCTGTTTCAAGGTAAAGAAATTTTTAAAAAAGGAAAAAGTATGCCCTGCATGGTGGCACCCATTTTAGTACCACCACAGGGGGATTGCTGTGAATTCAAGGCCAGCCTGGTTTACAGAGTAAGTTTCAGGACAGCCAGGGCTACATTGTGAGGCCCTGTCTCAAAACTACACACACACACACACACACACACACACACACACACAAAATAACAACAAAAAAAATAAATAAAACCCTAAAACATAGAAAATAATCACGGGCTCAGAACTCACCTGGAATTTACTACAAATGTACTAAGCAGGATAAGGAACTGAGCGACAGAGCCCTTATTTAGCATATACAGGCTACGGTTCCACCCCCAGTATAATAAGAGAGACAAGAACAAGGGGGAGGAAGAGAAAGAGAGAACATTTAAAACAAAGAAGGACAGTTTAGGATGGAAACAACGCATCGCAGGTAGAGCACAGTGCTCCTGGGACCCAACAGTCACCTGGGGCTAAGCCAGGAGAGTCCGAGGCTCCCAACATCACTGCCATGGAGTCATTGCATCTGGACTCTGGGGGTCTCTGTGTCATGGTCCTGAGGGTAGTATCACTGTCTGGTCTCTTGCGGGTCCTGAAAGGTCAAATCTCTTACGATCTCCCAGTGTGGGTTCTTGCCTGTTTCCACGGGTGCTGTCTACACCCCCACGCCCATCCCCTCATCCCGTCCCATCTGCTCTTGGGCAGTGACCCCAAATACCCTGAATTCTCAGGGTGCTTGGACAGGACTCAAGACCACGACAGCAGCCATGCCTCTCTTTCCCGCGGCTGGCCCCAACGCCCCTTGCTTATTACCATCTGTCCTTCCGGCTGTAGAGGAAATAGGCCAATCCTATCACCAAAGCAATGGCAGCCAGGATCCCGACGACAATGCCAGCAATGGCTCCAGGAGATAGAGAGGATGATGGAGGACCTCCGCAGAGAGAGAAAGACTAAGCTTAGCATGCTCTTCTCCCTATCCCCAGCTCCATTCCAGAGTTCCTGGATTTATCTTCACTAAATTTGAGTATGTTGTTTTCCAGCCCCTGGGACCCAGCAATTGGTAGTGTGAATGGCATCCTCCCTAGAGTACGATGGCTTGGGTTCGAATCTCCCAGTCGTGTGACTTTGGGCACACTGCTCAACCTCTCTGTGCACCAACTGTGTCTCCTGTATACAGGGGAAAGAGGGCCTCTTCTGTAGGGTTGCTGGAAAGATTAAACATGTTAGTTAAATATCTTATGTAGAGTAAAGGCCCTGGAGTCCTAGGAAGAGATCAGTAAATGAGTGTGTGTTGGTGGAACTGGTTATGTAGATGATTAGGGCATGGACCAGGGAAAAAGATTATGGCAACATAAACCTGGCTCCCCCTCAGATAAGGCCCCTTGACTCTCCGGGGCAGTGTGATCCTGTGCAAACCAGTATTCTCTTATTGGCAATGAGGAAAGTGGTACCCACTACACAGGTGTCTCAAGGATGAAAGGAGACCATAGCTGGTCATGCCTCACATGGAGCAGATGTCTCGTAAATGGCCTGATATTTGCCCATCCACTTCTATCTCAGCCTTTCTCAGAAGGATAAGGGCCCAGGGTTTGAGAAAGTGGTCCCATTTTTGGAACTTCCTGGGACCTCTGCCTGCCTGCCTGTCTGTCTGTCTGTCTGTGTCTCCATACGTGTGTGTGTGTGTGTGTGTGTGTGTGTGTAGACCTGTTTCAAACTCACTGCTATTGATTAACATCCCTAGCCCCTCACTAGTAGGTTCCAAGACACGCCCTAGCCCAGAAATGTCCTTAAACTTGGAGGCCTTTGCCTCCCAAGTAACTGGTACTGCATGCCTGAACTAAGCCTCTAGAAAATCCTTTTTAAAGATTTGTTTTTATTATTTTAAGAACTGCGCACATGTCTCTGTGCAAATGTGTATGTGTTCATGTGAGTACAGGTGTCCTCAGAGGCCTGAAGCCTTGGGTCTCATGGGGCTGGAGGGGCAGGCAGCTGTGAGCCATCTGATGTGGGTGCTGAAAGCAAGCTCAGGTCCCCCACCAGAGCAGGCAGCGCTTTTGACTTCTGAGCCATCTCTCCAGGTCACTGAAGTGCTTTCGCCCAGAAGTCTGGTGCAGCAATGAGACTAGTACCTAATCTACTAACGCTATAGACCTTTGAGATCAAGCAGGATTGTGCATGAAACTTCTAGAACATTCGAAGATACACTTGTGCACTCATGAACTTATACACACACACACACACACACACACAAATAAAATAAGAAAAGAACTCAAGGGCTGGAGAGGTGGCTCAGAGGTTAAGAGCACTGGCTGCTCTTTCAGAGGTCCTGAGTTCAATTCCCAGCAACCGCATGGTGGCTCACAACCATCTGTAATGAGATCTGGCGCCCTCCTCTGGCCTGCAGGCATACGACATAATGAATAAATAAATCTTTATTAAAAAAAAAAAGAACTCAAGCGAAAATGCAGGGTTTCTCTACCAGGCATATCTAGTTATTGGCATAACATATTAATACTATCACCATATTAACTGCTGGCCCCATCACCTCACTCAACCCCCGCCCCTACACACACACAGGCTTTATTCAAGATTCGTTGTCTCTCTAAACAGTTCAAGAATGCAGCCATCATAGACAGGGGTGGTGATGCACCCCTGTTTTCCTAGCACTGAAGAGGCTGGCGTAGGACGGTCAGAAGTTGGGGGCCATACATCAGGTGTGGTGGTGCACATCTTTAATCCCAGCCAGGCCTTGGGAGGCAGAGACAGCTGGGTCTACATTCCAGGCCAGCCAAGGGCTATGTAGTAAAACTCTGCCTCAAAAATAAGTCTAGGGTCAGCCTGGGCTACACAGAGAGAACCTGTCAAACAAAAGGTAGCATCATGACACTGGGGGGATGGCTCAGTGATCAAGAGCACATACTGTTTTTGAAGACACTCCAACCTCAATTCCCCAGTATCCATGTCTGGCATCTCACAACTGCCCATCACTCCAGCTTCCGGGATCTGATGCCCCCTTCTGGCCTCTTAGGGTATGTGCATTCATGAGCACATACCCACACAGCAACACATGCACATAAAGATTTAAAGGATTTTTAAGAAATACCACAAACCCATCTACAGGTGAGAAAAAAAAAAAAGGCTTAAACAGTTCAGAGAGGCTACACAGTACAAATCCAGGCGATCTGGGCATGAGGTGTGGGATTCCCTGGTTCTGCATTGAAAATCTAACTAGCCACTGTCATACTTCAGCCGTGCTAGGGGGAGGCTGGGTGGATAGAGCCACATGGGGAAAGAACATATGGATTCCAGAACAACGGAGCAGGAACAACTCACCCACCACCTTGACCAGGACAGAGGCGGACCGGGCCAGGCAGGTGATAAGGTTGGAAGCCGTGCAGCTGTAGATGCCCTCATGCTCCCAGCTCAGAGCCTCTATGCTCAGCTGCTCCCCAGTGTGCACTGCGGAGGAGTGCTCGTGGGTCCAGTGATACCTGGCATCAGGATTGGAGTCAGCCCAGCAATGCAGGGTCAGGCTGGAGTTGAGCATCGCCTGGATGGTGCTGGCCTCTCCAGATGCTGACCCCGGGGCGATGTCCACTCGGTCAGGACCATCTGCAAAGTAAGACACCGTGAGTGTTCGGGCCCACAGGCAAAGTGACCAGATTTGTCCTCTCCTGCTTTTCTTTTTTGCTTTGCTTATTTCTGTTTTGCCTTTGGGGTTTGTTGTTTATCTGGGGCCTTTTGGTTTCTTGTTTTTTGTTTGTTTTCAGAAGAAGTCTCAAGTAGCCAAGGCTAGTCTCAAACTCACTATGTAGCCAAGGATGATCTTAAACTCCTGTTCCTCCAGCCCCTCCCCCCGTTTGTTGTTGCTTTTATCCATTTATCCTTCCAGATCCTGGCTGACCTCAAACTTGCAAAACTCTTGTCTCAGCCTCTCAAGTGCTGGGATTATAGGTGTTACACTGTTGTACCCAGGAAGAAGGGACTCCTTAAAGAAGGAGGGGCGGGGGAGGGATGGGAGAGGAAGGCAAGGAGGAAGAGAAGGCCCAGGTCCCACCACTCACAGTTGATGGCAAGCCTCAGGGGAGCACTGCGAGCGCGGCCACCCCAGTTCCACACCTCACACTCATAGGGCCCCGTGTCGTCCCTCTGGAGGCCATGGATAATCAGGGTCCTGTTCTGAGATGACAACGTCAGGCGATCACTGGGCCAGAGTGGCTGACCCTTCAGAAACCACTGGACACTGGCCTCGTGGTGGCTGGTTTTGCAGGTCAGGGACACAGAGGTAGCGTTTTCCACAAGAGGCAGGATTGGGAGCTCGATACTGGGTGCAGTTAATTTTTCTGGAAACACATGGAGATACAGGTTCAGAATCAAGGATGTGTCCCAAGTCTACGTTAGCCAGGAGTGGTGCACGCTTTAATCTCAACACTTCGTGGGGCACAGCTGTCTCTGTGAGTTCAAGGCCATCCTAGTCAGCACAGACAATCACAGGCAAGTCAGTCAGGGCCGTATAGTGAAGCCATGTCTCAAGACAGCAACAAAACCAAAAGCGACCCTGCATTTTTAAGGTGTGTGTGTGTGTGTGTGTGTGTGTGTGTGTGTGTGTGTGTGTGTTTGGTACAGGGCCATATAGTATGGGGGGCAGAAATGTAGTGTGGTTTGGGGGGGGGATGTGGGATTGGGGTATGCTGGAGGGAGGGGGTGCTGATTTTGTGCCTGCTCTATGTGTTGTGTTATGTGTGAGTTGTGAATGTAAACTATATGAGCAGAACACACATGCACTTTGTGTTACATACACACACATGTATCTGAATTTGTGTTCTATATCTGTAATAGTGTATATATTATGGTACATAGTGGTTCCTTATATGCTTTATGGAAAACTGTTGTGTGTGGCATATATATGTATATTGTCTGGGTCTGTATATTTTTTGTTTTTTACTATCAAGAATTCAACCTAGGGCCTCCTAAATTCTAAACAAATGGTCTTCCACCCAGTCCCAAGCCCCAGCCCCTCACTGGGGGATTCTAGGCAGGAGCTCTACCACTGAGCCAAACCCCAGCCCCTCACTGGGGGATTCTAGGCAGGGGCTCTACCACTGGGCCACACCCCAGCCCCTCACTGGGGGATTCTAGGCAGACATCCTATCACAGAGCACCATGTTCATTGGTATTCTGAGACAGGATCTCACTAAGTTACACATACTGACCTTAAACTCTCTCTGTAGCCTTGAACTTATTGGTTTATTTGGGTGGTGAGATGGCTTACCTTCTTCCAAGCCTGATGACCTCAGTTGGAGTCCAGGACCCAAATAGTGAGTGGAAGGAGCCAAACTGTCCTCTGACCCACAGTCACTCTCTGGTATACGCATATCCACTCTCCCACACGGTCAGTCAGTGTTACTGTGCATCTATGTGTACACGCGTGGTGGGGCACATGCCCTGGAGTTGACTCTTTCACCCTCTACATGGCTCCTGAGGATCAAGCTCATGCCCTCAAGGGTGAGCAACAAACGCTTTATGTGCTGGGCCATCTCCCTGCCAATTCTTGAATTTACAATCCCCCTGCCTCAGTTTCCCAAATACCTGGAATTACAGATTAATCTGTATGTATACGTTGTGTCAACTGTATGTGCACGGAGGGTGTAGAATAGATTTATACTGATTTTTTTTGGGGGGGGAGTGGGTTGAGACAGAATCTCTCTTTTATGTAGTCCTGACTGTCCTAAAACTCACTCTATAGACCAGGCTGGCCTCAGACTCATAGATATCCACCTGCCTCTGCCTCCTGCATGCCAGGATTAAAGGTGTGCACCACCATGCTCTGCTGGTTTATATATTTTCTGTTGTATGTCTTAAGTGTCTGTGATGTGAGTGGTTATGATCTGGGGTGGGTGCTGAGTCTGTGATGTACATGTCGTGTGTATGTTTATGTTTTATGTGTGTCATGAGCTGCCATATTTACTGCATATATGTTGTATGTGATATATGTGTATCTGTGTGGTGTACATGCTTATTATACATGTATCATAAATATAAGTGACTAGGGCTGGAGAGATAACTCAATGGTTAAAAGCACTGGCTGCTCTTGCAGAGAATCTGGGTCTGATCCCTGGTACCCACATGGCAGCTCACGTCCGTATTTAACTCCAGTACTAAGGGATCTGGTGCCCCCTTCTGGCCTCTACAGGCACTGCATGTGCATAGTGCAAATCCAGGCAGGCAATACATCCACACACAAAAAATAAAATAAAATCTTTGAGAAAAATACATGTGTATTGGTTGTATATATGCTATGGGTCAGTGTCTACAGTGTGGTGTCTGTGTGTGTGTGTGCGCGCGTGCATGCATTGTGTGTGTGTCTGATGAGCATGCTCTGTACTTTGCATTGAGCACTGCATGCATTTGTGTCTTGTGTGTTATATGCCTGAGGTGTTGTGCTCTGTGTATGTGTTGTGTGTAAGTTGTGTGTGTGCAAGTAGCCTGTGCACATAATCATTCTTCCAGGGTAAGTGGACTGAGGGCTGTGCCAGCATCTGTCTGTACAGACACACAACTCCTTCCTAAGCAAAGAATCAAACCATGGACATGAAGAGTCAAGAAGGTGTTGAAGACATGCCAAGCTGATGCTGTGACCTTCCCTGTGGTAAGAGCCCTGCTCCGTCACCAGCCAAATGAAAGTCACCTGTCCTCAGCTTCCTCCTCAAATACTGAGGTGCGCATTTGCATGGTGACTTGACTCTGGTGTTTCCTTGAGAATTTGACAACTGATTGTTTCTTTAAAACATTACCCACACCCAAGGTGCAATTCCACACCCACCCTGGTAATCACAGAATGTCCCCACATCCCAGATTAAGTCTCTGGACCCTTGTAAAACCTCGCCTTCCAGTCCCCCAAAGAAGCAAAGAGAACCAGGAAATAATACTCACGAAGCACTTGGACTTTGACAACACCCAGGCGGGACAGCTGGGTGACACTGTTGGACACCAGGCACCTGTACATGCCTTCATGTTCCTTGGACACAGCCTTGATGGTGAATGTCCCCATGGTGGGAGGCTGGATGGAGTCAGTGGGGAGATACCAGGTATAGTCAGAGGCAGGGCGAGACTGCGTTTTCACCCTGAAGTTCACAGCTTGGCCTTCTAGCACCTCAACCACATCCCCAGCCTCTACACCTGAGTCCAGCTTGATTGTTACAGGGTCAGGACCATCTGGGAGGGTGGAAACAAGCATGGTCTGTGTTAGAATGAGCAGCAGATCACTTCTGGGGGTACTGTAAGTACAGCTTCCTTTTCCAATCCACTGCAAGGAAGATATGGATCTGCTGGAGGTGGGTATCGTGTTGGAGGTGGGGATCTGCTGGAGGTGGGCATCCTGGTGGAGGGGATCTGATGGAGGTGGGGATCTGATGGAGGTGGTTTTGTTATAGAAGTACTGTTTAGAACTCAAGTTTTAATCCACTACATTGGATTTTTTTTTTTTTTTTTTTTTTTTTTTTTTGGTTTTTCGAGACAGGGTTTCTCTGTGGCTTTGGAGCCTGTCCTGGAACTAGCTCTGTAGACCAGGCTGGTCTCGAACTCACAGAGATCCGCCTGCCACTGCCTCCCAATACATTGGATATTTCTAATGGAATCCAAATGTGAATATCAGTTTCTTGTTTAAAGTCTACATTTGATTTCTGTCCTATGTGATTGTGACTGGGATCAAATCCAGGGCCTCATTAGTGCTAGACAAGGACTTTAATTCTACACTTCACTTTCTTACATAAATCTATGGGCCAGCATTTTAAACCAGGAATGCGGTACCAAGGAAGTAAGTGTCAGCCACGGGTAAAGGGAGCTGGAGACTCACAGTTCACATCCAGCAAGACAGTGTCGCTGCTCTGGCCCTCAAAGCCATTCTGCACTTCACACTGGTAGGACCCCGAGTCCTTTCGCTGGACAACGAGGATGGTGAGGTTCTTGTGATCCGCAGACAGCTTCACATGCTCATTTGACGCTAGTGGGGAGTTGTTGGAGGTCCAGTGGATGGTGACATTATCATCGTCAGTGTGACAGTAGAATGTCACCATGTCCCTCAGCTCTACGACAGTGCTCTGGCTGACTGACAGCGTGGGCTTGGCCAGTGAAACTGAGGACAGCAAAAACAAGAAGCAATAACAACACCACAGAGACACGTACTTAGAACAAATCACAAAAGATCTGATGAGACCAGAAAGGACTAGAATAGTCAAAAGAATATTCTGGATCTCTTTACATCATGATCTTTATGTCATAAATCCTTTCTCCCTTCAATTGGTACAGTCACAAGGAAAGTAACTGAGGCTGAAGAGATGCCCTTGCAGAGGACCCAAGTTTGTTTCCCAGCACCCATGTTGGGCAGCTCACAACCACCAGGAACTCCATTTCCAGGGGATCTGCTATCTGGATGCCACAGGTGTACACACACACATAAAAATAAATCTTAAATATAAATATAACTAATAAACAAAGCCAGTCTATATTGATACAAAAAGAGAATCAAAATTTTTTGTTTTGTTTTTCAAGACAGGGTTTCTCTGTGTAGTTCTGGGTGACCTGGAACTTGCTATGTAGAGCAGGCTGGCCTCTAACTCAGAGATCCTCCTGCCTCTGCTTCCTGCTGGGATTAAAAGTGTGCATCACCACCGCCCAGTAAGAATCAAATTTTTAACAACAGCAAGGGTCCCTTTCTATCTCTTAGCCACCACTGCCTTGCCCACAGCCATGACAGCTACAGTCCGCCCCTTTACTGCTGCCTTCAACACAACTGACTACATGCTCCCTCACCAGAGCTTAGCGAGGGCAATCAGCACATCTCCTCTTAGCACCATGGACACTGCCCCAGTTAACATCAGCTGTCGACTTGACACAGACTACAGTCATCTGCAAAGAGTCTTAATTGAGTCATTGTCTGTTTCAGGTTGGTCTATGGATAAAGTCTGTGGGGATTATCTTGGTTCTTTTAATTGGCACAGGAGGGCACAGCCCACTGTGGGTGGCACCATTCCCTAGGCAGGTGGTGCTGGGCTATATGAGAAAGCGAGCTAAGCACAGACCTGTGAGCGAGCCAACAAGCAGCATTCCTCCTTAACTGAGTTCCCCAGTCAGAATAGTGCACAGAATCCCTTGGATCCTGCCTTCAGTTTTGCACCTTGAGCTCCTGCCCTGACTTCCCTCCATGATGGACTGTGCCCTGGAAGTGGAAGATGAAATAAACCCTTTCCTCCCCTATACTGCATTTGGCATTTGTCCAAAGTGTTTTAGCACGGCAACAGAAAGGAAACTCGAATAGGCATGAAACCCAGAGGGAGGACCCTATGTTTTATGACAACTTGATACAAGCTAGAGTCACTTGGGAAGAAGGAAACTCAATTGAGAAAATAGCCCTAGCAGACTAGCCTGTGGGCAAGCCTGTGCTATGTTTTCTTGGTTGATGATTGATGTAGGGGAAGGGTCAGCTCACTACAGGTGGTGTCTTCCCCGGGCAGATGGTCCTGAAGTTTGTATGAAAGCAGGTTGAGCAGACCTGGGGAGGCAACCTTTAATCCCAGCACTCAGGAGGCAGGAGGCAGAAACAGGCGGATCACTGTGAGTTTGAGGCCAGCTTGGTCTACAGAGTTCCAGGACAAGCTCCAATGTTACAGAGAAACCTTGTTTTAAACAAAAATCTTTTGGTTACAGTGTCTTATCACAGCAATAAAACCCCTAACTAGTTTAGGATCATGGAATATTGCTGACCAGACCATGACATTGACCCGACAATGACCATGTCATTGACAGCCCTGACCATGTTTGGGTGGAGGATTTGTAAGGACTTTGGAACTTTGGGATAGAAAAGCCATTGATTGCACAGAGTTTAATAACCATTTGTGGAAACTTAGAAGGCAATGCTGAGAGCAGAGAAGTCAGACCTTTGGCATTTGAGAGGGAAGATTTAAAAGTCCCCTAGAGATTCTATCAGAGTCAATTAATATTTTAATTAAGAACTACTCAGGTGAAGCCTTTGCTTTGCTGGGTGTCTCAGTTGGGGTCTCATTGCTGCAATGAAACACCACGACCAAAAGCAAGTTGGGGAGCAAAGGGTTTATTAGGCTTACACTTCAGCATTGTTGTTCATCACTGAAGGAAGCCAGGACAGGAACTCAGACAGGGCAGGAACCTGGAGGCAGGATCTGATGCAGAGGCCATGGAGGGGTGTGGCTTGCTGGCTTGCTTTCCCTGGCTTGCTCAGCCCACCTTCTTATAGAACCCAGGAGCAGCAGCCCAGGGACGGCACCACACACAATGGGCCGAACCCTCCCTGTTGATCACTAATTGAGAAAATGCCTTACAGCCTGAACTCATGGAGGCATTTCCTCAACTGAGGCTTCTTCCTCTCTGGTGATTCTAACTTATGTAGGCTGACACACAAAACCAGCCAGTGCACTGGGACCATGGGTGCTGGTAAGCTAGGGCTGAAGAATCTGCTGTGACTAAGAAGAGACCAGCATTGTTGAAGCAGAATCTTCTGGGACCTGTTTCCTTTGGGTCAGAGCACAGGAGTGCTGTAGAATAATCCTTTTGCACACTGTGAAGATGTGTTGCTCTCATTGATTTAATGAAGAGTCAACTGGCTGATAACTAGGCAGAAAGAGGTTAGGGAGAAGAGCAGACTGAGAGAAGGCTAGGAAGAAGGAGAGCAGGGTCACCAGCCAGACACAGAGCGAACAAGAGATGAACATGCCATGCTGGAAAAGGGTACCACCACGTGGTAGAATGTAGAAATAATATGTGTTAATTGAAGTTGTAAGAGTTAGTTAGTAATAAGCCTAAGCTATTAGCTGAGCATTTATAATTAATAAGTCTCAGTGTGGTTATTTGGGAGCTGGCTGGTGGGACAGAAAAGTCCATCTACAGGAGCTGTTGATCAGAGGGGTCTGAGGCTGCATCTCATGCTGGTATCTGAACTTGGTAGCATGAGAGTCACCCAGATGGTTCTGGTTTTAAAGGTCTGAGGGGTACCAGAGAGCATCTGAGGACTGGTCATTGTGCGGCAGGGCTGGAGTCCCCAAAGGGAAGCCAGGAGAGGTCACTGGTGAAGATGGAGTAAAAGCCCCAGGGGTGAAGGAGTCAAAGTCATGGCATCATGTGGCAGTGCTAAGACTCCCTGAAGAAAACCAGGGAGGAGCAACCTGTGAAAGCGCAGCCCAGTTGCAGCAGAAGACCCCAGCATTTCAGAGATGCCAGTACCATGGGACGACTGCCAAGAACAGCAGCGACATGGGGTGGAGCTGGCCTGAGCCTGGGAGATGTGCTGTGTCCGCTGTTCCCGAAGTCTTACACAAGGCTTCACACAGTTGGAATTTGGTTTAACTTTCATCTGATTGTGACCGTGCCCTGGGTTTCCCCTCTTAGAGTGAGAAAGTATATCACTTATTTCTTTTTTAATTTTTCGGGAGCCCACAGTTAAAAGAAGTTTTAGAGAGGTTATGGATATTTTGGAGAAACTTTGGATATCTTAGAGCAGTATTTCTCAACCTTCCTGACACTGTGACCCTTGACACAGTTCCTCATGCTGTGGTGACCCCAACCGTAAATTTATTTTTGTTGCTACTTCATAACTGTAATTTTGCTAGTTATGATGTATGTCCGCAGGTCAGAAGAGGGCGCCAGATCTCACTATAAATGACTGTGAGCCACCATGTGGTTGCTGGGAACTCAGAACTTCTGGAAGAGCAGCCAGTGCCCATAACCACTGAGCCATCTCTCCAGCCCGTATCTGTGTTTTCTGGTGGTCTTATGTGACCCCTGTGAAAGGGTTGTTTGATCACCTCAAAGAGGTTGTGACCCAGAGGCTGAGAAATACTGTTTTAGAGGCTTTGTATATTTTAAAGAAAGTGAACTTTTTAAAGTGTTTGGATTTTAAAAGCTTATGGGACATTTAAAGATTAGAATATGTTTTATATTATGATATTACTAATAAAATGCCATCTTGGGGACAAATGAGAAAGGAAAGGTTCTAGCTGAATAGTAACATGTGTTGTGGAATAGAGCGTTTGTTTAACTATGTAAAGGTGTGTTACATTTGTTGATGCTGCATTTGTTGAACTATGTAAAAGTGTGTTTTTGTTCCACCTTATTGGTCTAATAAAAAGCTGAACAGGCAATAGATACCATGGCAGTGGAGGGATAGGTGGGGCTAGCAGACAGAGGGGAAAGGTGAGCAGCCAGCAGAGGGCTAGGCATCCAGACACAGAGGAAGCAGGATGAAAAGTATGTAGATGAGGTAAAAGAGCCTCAGGGCAGCACATAGATTAATAAAAATTGGATTAATTTAAGTGAAAAAAAGACTAGCTAGAAACAAACTTACGCTAAGACCGAGCATTCATAATTAATAATAAGAATCCACGTTTTATTTGGTAGCTGGTTGATGGCCCAAAGAAAATGCCAGCTACAGACATGCTGTGTGACAAGTAAACAAGGGGTTAAGTGTGCCAGCTAGCTCTATTACAGCATTAGAAGCCCTAAGACACAGTGAAGACAGACGCAGGAAAGATGATCTCATTTTCTGTGCTCACGTCACAGTCTGATGTGTGTCTAAGAAGAGAACCCACAGATAACATACCTCTCCCACTTGGAGTGTTGCTAAGCAGGTCAGCAGGGCGGGTGAACTGGGCAGCCATTGGCGGGATCCATGTGGTCAGAAGTGTGACTGGAAGGGGAGAAAGGAAAAACATTGAGGGAAGGAGAGGTGGCATCACATGACTGGTTAGTCTGCATAAACCGGGAAGAAACACGCAGTGATGCTGGCCTGTAATCCCAGGACTCAAGAAACCAGACACAGAAAGATCACAAGTTTGAAGCCAGACTACCATCAATGGTAAGCCGCTGTATTGAAACAAAAATCAAACGAACAACGGCAACAAAAGCAAATCTTAGCTTGACACCTTTAATCCCAACACAAAGCAGGCAAAGGCAGGACGATCTCTGAGTTCGAGGCCACCCTGTTCTACAAAGAGAGACTCTAAACCCTAACTCCCCTGTTGTGGAATATTATTTAAAGATATGTTGTATTTGTTTATGCTGTGGAATACTTGTTTAATGATCAAAGATGTGTCGCATTCTTTTATGTTGCATTTGCTTAACTCTGTAAAGCCACATTACTTTGCCTGTCTGAAACACCTGATTGGTCTAATAAAGAGCTGAGTGGCCAATAGCTAGACCCCAGAAGGATAGGCGGGGCTGGCAGGTAGAGAGAATAAATAAGAGGAGCAAGAAAAGGAGAGGAGGATGCTAGGGGCCAGCCACCCAGCCCCACAACCAGCAATGGAGTAAGAAGAAAGACATACAGAACAGAGAAAGGTGAAAGCCCAGAGGCAGAAGGTAGATGGGATAATTTAAGAAAAGCTGGCTAGGGCTGGAGAGATGGCTCAGCGCTTAAGAGCACGGACTGCTCTTCCAAAGGTCCCGAGTTCAATTCCCAGCACCCACATGGCAGCTCACAACTGTCAGCATTTCCAATTCCAGGGGACCCGACACCCATGGCAAATCACCAATGCACATTAAATAAAT